CACTTGGAAGAAAGTCACCAGGGACACTCATTCTAGACTTTACGTGACTGAGAAACAAAACAAAACACTTCTCCTTGGTTTGACCCAGTGTACATTTTCCGGCTGATTTGTTAAAGCAGCTGGCTCTACCCAAAGTAATACATGCAGATTTCCCAACAGAGACACTTTCAAAATTTGCACCCCAAAAGAAGAGTGTGGGTTTCCCCCCTATGGGTTCCTCTCTTGGCCAGCAGCAGACAATGGGCACAGGGCTTGGTGGTTCAGGCGTCACCCAGCCTTCCACCTGTGGATTTTACTGTCCCGAGAACATGGCGGGCAAGGCCATGTTCCTGTTTTTACGGAGCACAGCACTGAAGCTCGCATGGGTGAAGTGACTTGTCCTCCCTCTTTTCACTGGACCGGATGGCCCCGGCCACAGAGTTGTGCGAACTCCAAAGGGCTCACGAGAGCCCCTGATATCAGTGTGCGCTTTCTCAAAACCACACTTCGTGAGAAAGTGAAGCTGGCTCTCCGGACGGGACCGGACTTGGTGATTTGGCTTGGAGATTGAGCTGGTGTGGCCTTATTATCCACAGGCACAGGAGGAGCCACTTGGGGGACAGCAGGGCGTCTGCGGGAGGAAATCGCAGAAACCTCCCAGAGCCAAACGTCTGTTTTCACACCAGCTGCAAAGTGCAAAATGATATTAAACTGTCAACATCTTTCCCCCGGTCTAAAGAATCTGAAATCCTATCTGTGTCTGTCTGTCATCAGATCTGTGGTACGGCTGGGTGGCCGTAACACCGAATCTCGTGTGCCTGGGACCGACTCCCATGTTTCCAGGCTTTGGGAATCGGGGCAGAGCCCCCTCACTTGTCCTGGACCTCAGCTTTCTCCTGGGTAATGCTGACACTTCAGGCCTAGGAGGTTTGTAACGAGGATTTTAAAATATCATGCGTAACAATGCTTAGTAAGCTGTGAAAGACAGAACTAACGTTATCTCATTGAGTGAGATACTGGGTGTGAGACATCTACCCGGGGCCCGCTGTGTAAGTAGATGGTCAGGTGAACGCGTTTTCATTTATTTCCAGTGTTATTCCTACCAGGATTTTTGTTTTGTCCCAAGACCACGCCCACAGCGTGAAGTCTCAGAGGATATTAGTGCCTCTTCTCATCCTATATTATCACTTATCGTCTCCTGTTGGCCAGTTGTTGCCAAAAATGGCCGCAGCGACATTTTCAATCCCACATAGGCTCCTAGAACCTTGCCACTTCCTGGCAGGAGGTAGCATTCATTTGTCCTTGAACGTGGGTGGGGTGCCATCACTGCTGTGGCGAGTAGAATGTGGCAGAGGCGATGCAGCCTGATTTTGGAAGCTCGTTCGTAACTACTAGGTACCTTTTGGGATGCCTGCCTTTGAAATCAGCCACCATGCTGTGAGGAAGCGCAAACCAGCCCTCGCGAGAGTCCATGTGGAGAAGCCCACAGGAAGGGACTGGGGCTCCCACCAATAGCCAGCATCAACCACCAGACAGGTAAGGGAGCAGACCTTTAGGTGATCCCAGGGCCCAGACTTTGAGTCTCCCACCTGAGACATCGTGGAGCAGAGACGGGCCGTCCTTGTCTAAACTCCCAACCCCCAGAATCGGTGAACACAGTCGCTGGTTGCTTTGTGCTGCTAAGTTTTGGAGCAATATTTGGGGGAGCCGTCGCACCTGGGACCTTCCCCCAGTGGACCAGAGACCTGTTGAGGAGGGAAACTGTCTCATCTACCTCTTCCTTAACAAGCTGAGCAGGGGACTCAGCAAATGGTGGCAGCCTGGTCCTTCCGGAAAGATGCTTGACACCCCTTCCAGTCCTTCTGGAAAGCCTCTGTGCTCAACGAGGCCAGGACTTCCAAGGTGTACAAAGGTGTTTGCTCATTCACCGACCATTCACTGGATGTGTAATGGACCAGGGGGCTGTGCCGGAGACAAGACAGCGAGCAAATCAGAGGCGTCCGAGGCCCACGCGAGTCTTCCAGTTTGGTTGGGGGTAGAGGGGGCAAGTTACAAGCAAAAAAGGGACGCACAGTTATTCTCAGTTGTGATGAATGCTGCCGAAGGAGATACACAGGGGGAAGGCGGTGAAGGGCCGACAAGGAGGGACCTGCTCGGTGGGATGGCGAGCAAGGGCCTCTCTGAGGAGGTGATGCATGGGGTTGGGGGGAGAACATTCTAGGTGGACAAAACAATTACACACAAAGGCCCGGAAAGAGTCGGGGATGTTTGGGGAAATACAAAACCAGTGTGGTGGGGTGTGGTGAGCCAGTGCAGGGCTGGAAGACGTGGGACAGGCAGGCCTCGGGAGAGCTGCTTGGATTTTCCTCTGAAGGGTGTGGGTCCAGTCCCCAGGGAGGACACGAACTCCAACATCAGGTTGGGGGGCCTGTGTACGCATGTTTTCTGCCCTCAGTTTCTGGGGAGTGGCCAGTTTGTGACTCCTCTCGCTCTCTCTCTCTCTCTCTCTCTCTCACACACACACACACACACACACACACACACACACAGCACACCCACACAATATCAGCCTAAAGTAGGTAAATAAGAAATAAGGAGCTTCTGAACAACCGAGTCATAGCCACTGAGTAGACACCCAATTGCCCTACCCTGCACCTGGCACTGTTCCAAAAGCCTCCAGGCCTCACTGAGCACCGCCCACTCTTAACTTAGCACCTGGCCCTGACAACCCTTGTTATCTGCTTGCAGAGCTGTGAGAAGAAGCAAACTAGGAGGGATTCCTGGGGGAAGCCGCCGGCAGTCCCCGCTGAGTGGGTCCCTCTACCTTGTAGGCCCTTGTTCCTTCTCCCGTGCGGCCCCATGCTCGGTGCCCTTCGAGGCCAGCCTCGCGCGCGAGGTCTCCTTGGGTTGACCCAGAAGATGGGGCCCCCCCTCCCTTCTCCCCCACGAACCGGAGCCCTGAGTCAGGGAGGGGGCTACCGGTACAGGAAGAAGCCAAGAACTTTAGGGCAGGGCGGTGCGAGTGCGCGGGCCGACCCCTGTGTGCCCTGTCTCCTCCCCCAGCAGGACATGCTCTTCGTTTAACAGTCCCAGATTCAGAAAGCAAGGCCGTGTGTAGCATTTTAATGTTTTCTAATAAACGTTTTGTATTTAAGTGTGTATAACTGACATAGAATGTCTATAGGTCTTAGAATCATTTCTACTCAAAATGCTAGAATAGGGACGCCCGGGTGACTCAGTCAGTGGAGAGTCCGAATCTTGATTTTGGCTCAGCTCACGTACCTCACGGTTTCTGAGTTCGGGCCCTGCGTCGGGCTCTGTGCTGACAGCATGTGGCCTGCTTGGGATTCTCTCTCTTCTATTCTCTCTGCCCCTCCCTCTCTCAAACATAAGTAAATAAACTTTAAAAGGAAAACACGCTGGAATAAAAGTTTAGTGTTTAAAACGACAGTGATAACGATGACAATGACTGGCATTTGTGTTTTCTGCTTAGCTGCTGTTTACCGGGCACTCTCTATACCCATTTAATCTTCACAATGGGCGTTAGCTTTCTAGAAATGTCACCTGTCTGGCACCACGCCCCCTTCCTCAGCACGCGCCCCTCAGAGCGTGCACGCTCAAACACGCACACACCCAGAATTTTCGAGTAGGTGCCTCATGGGTAGACACGGACGGTCGCTTCTTACCCTCCCTGCACCCAGCGAAGAAAATCCACATTCTGCTGGAGCGGGAGCAGGGAACAGCTGCATGAGACCCGAGAGGGAACAGCCCACTCTGAGCGGGGACTTCGGGGAGCGTCGGGAGAGGGAAAGACTGAGGATAGTCCTGGGGCCCGGCCGGCGGGAGCCGACGCCCGGGCTCTGCCCTGTGCACGCTGTGTGGTGGTCTGTCGGCTGTCTTCCGAGTGTGGTCCCCTTGCCATCTGTTGCTGCCTGAATTGTGTTTTCCCACGCCCAGGCCTGCCCAAGCTGTCACCAGCTGTGACCAGCTGTCAGCCAGTTGTTAGCACTCTGCCCCTCTCCCTGCCACGTGACAGCCCCCCTCGTCAGCCAGAGCCCAGAAGAACTTTCCAACAGGTGGTCCAGGGGACAGACGGCGTTTAAGACCCGAGCACCCTGTAGTTAGGTTGGAGACCCAGGTGAGAGACACAGAGACCCGGCCAGACAGACAGACGCCCAGACAAACAGGAGTGGAGGCAGAGAGAGGGAGTCAGAGAAAAAGAGAGAGCAACAGGAGAGAGGCACAGACACAGACGTTTAAAAAGCAGGGATGCACGTGCACACGCGCACGCACGCACGCACGACGGGCAGGTAACAAAGAACCGTTTCCACCCACCCACCATGGGTCCCAGGGACCAGAAGCCCCGGGAGTGTTGCTAAGGGCCTCCTCAACCAGCTACTCCAAGTGTGGTCCACAAACCCACGCCAGCAGCCACGACCTCCCTGGGCGTGTTTAGACTCTCAGAGCCGGGCCTACAGAGGGCAGGTTACTAGTCCCAGGAGATTCGTGTGCACGCGAAGCATGAGGGGCGTGGCTCTGACTTGCTGCGCCTTCCTCTACGCAGCCGGAGGTTTGAGGCTGACGGGCTGAGTGCGCCCTTCCACTCCCGCTGTGACCCGAGCTTGGGAGGCAGGAGGGGCGGGGGGGGGGGGGGGGCGGGGGGGCAGGGGGCAGCTGTCCGCTCAGCTCTGAGCACAGAGCTAGGAATAGGGCCTGGGAGCCAGCACGCAGCCTGCTCTGCTGTCCACCCTTCCACCTGCCCCCTCTCTCTGCGCTGCCTTCGCCCTTGTGGGTCCCTCCACCTGGTAGGCCCTCGTTCCTTCTCCCGTGTGGCCCCGTGCTCGGTGTCCTTCGAGGCCAGCCTCGTGCGGGAGGTCTGCTGGGGTTAACGCAGAAGATGGGGCCCCCTCCCTTCTCCCCCACGAACCGGAGCCGAAGTAGTGACCGCTGCCGACCCACTGGACATTCTGACATTGCCGGGCTGTTTTGCTGATGGCGCTCACTCAATACACACAGCAGGATTGCGTTGAGTACTTTTATTATCCCCATTTGACAGATGGGAACAGTGAGGCTTAGAGGGCTACCTGTCTTTATCCAACATGCCTAGGGGATACCAAATACCCTATGTGCCAAGTTGGGTGGCCAGCTAGTCTGTGGACCACCCCCCCCCATCAGGCTTCTGGGCCCAGATGGTGGCCCCTTGACGACGGGGCAAGCCAAGCCTCGAGGGAGCAGGAGCCCACAGAATCTCAGCTGCCTCTCCAGAGATAAGGGTGCTTTGTTCTCCAGGCTATTTCCAAAACCAAGGAATTCCACCGAGGCCTCTAGGCGGCCGGCTGCCTCCCCAGGCGCTGTACAATTGCCTCTGAAACATCAAGAATGACAGTTATTTTTTATTAATGAACTCAGGACCTGCTTGGTTCCATAAACAAGGCTCTTCCCTGGAACAACCCCTCTCTCCAGCTCTCAGCCTCCGGCCCCCTGAGGGGCCCCTCTGCCCACAGCCTGTCCCTGACTGAAGTTGGATAGCGGGTCCCCCACTGGAGGCTGCTAGGGTGGTCCTGGACCGGGACAGGAAAGAGGGCCCACCAGCTCTGGGGCTCACAGAGCTGGTGCGGAGAGAGAAGACACCACCTTATCCACCGATCGGCCCGGTCTCCCGGGGCAACTGACCTCACCTCTCTGGAAGTCGGTTTTCAGACTGTAAATCCGGACAGTGGTCCCTGTGCTGCCTATCTAGAGGGCCGAGGGAATCTGAAGAATGCGAAGTTTCCATAAAGTGCAAAAAGACGGCATGACCTGTGTCCTTCCAAGTGATTGAGGCAGGAACAGCCGCTGCCATAGAAAACCACTTCTAGCTTTTACCTTGAGATTGTACATTAAGCCATTGCTCAGGGAACGCAATTTGCATTAGACTGAATACAGTTTCCATCTTAAAAAAAAAAAACCTTGCTGCCTGTAAAAGTCTGTACTTTCTCGTTATAAAGAGCAGGTAACAAAGGCGGAAGGGGAAAAGCGGTAATAGGAAAATAAAGTCAGCTCGCCAGAGTTGATAGAACACAGGGGATTGCTTGAGAGCCATCCATGGATGGTCGTGGAAGGCCTTTTTTCACAGACGTTTCTGCGGGAAAAAATAACTTCCCTTTTGCTGGTCCGACACCCTCACGAAAACAATTACTTCTAGCACATGGTTTCTGAGATTTCGTATGAATATTGACTATAATGCTCATTCTGGAGCAGGACAGCCTGCTTGGACTCCCGACCTTGTGCCGAGCCCTTCTAGCCTATTTCCTCTTTGCGACTATTGCACGAGGTAGGGACCATCTCCATTTTCCAGGTAAGAAAACTGAGGCCCAGGAGGGAGAAGTAACTTAGTTAAGGTTGCATAGTTGGTAACAGGGAAGGAAGATGAAGGCAGGGTTTGGGGTCTCCAAAGTCGTATTTGCTGCCGCAACAGTCAACCCAACTTCCTTGGTGTCAAAGATTCCCTCCGTGGCTCCCGCCCATAAACACCAGATGACTCAGACTAGCACAGGCGAGAGCCTCCTGTAAACTGTGAAGTCCCACACGGAGGTCAGTACTTTTTACATCAAAGCTCTAACTTATTACAAGTAATTTAGAGTTTGTTATTTCCTCCAACGAAGGCTTGCTTTTACAGAAGGAACCACCACAGGGTTCCTTGAATAATGAGCGTTTAAAATATTACTAAACAAAACTTTCCAGGGGTGCAATCTGCTGAAGGGAAGTGAGGGCTGGGAGGTGGAAATCTCTGGAACTGTGGGATTTTGCGAGGGCAAGAGGAGCTCAGCTGAGGCCTCCTGACGAGGACAAGTGCTTTTTGGTCACCTCAACCTGTTCACAGCCCTGGAGCAACCAACTAATTTTTTTTTTTTTAACCAACATGATTATTTACCATCATTACACATACAGTAGGTTACGTTCATGGGAGAGCCTGAGACAGTTATGATTTCCAACGAGGCTCAGAAAGGTTTAGTGACCTGTCCGAGGTCATAAAAAAAGCATGGCTTAATAGGAATACACACCCATATGGACCAGCAACTCCACTCCTGGGTATATACACAAAAGAATTGAAAGCAGGGACTTGAACTGCTCCTTGCATATCCAGGTTCATAACCCAAATAAATACTCCTAAATACAGAGAACAATCGGAGGGTTGCTGGAGGGGTTGGAGGTGGGGGGATGGGCTAAACGGGAAAGGGGCATTAAGGAAAACACTCGTCAGGGGGAGCACTGGGTGTTACACATCGGGGATGAATCACGGGAATCTACTCCTGAAATCATCATTACACTATATGCTAACTAACTGGGATATAAATAAATAAATAAATGAAAAACCAAATATCATCGAGGGGTGAATAGATAGACATAATATGGTATGCACGTACAAGGGAACATCATTCAGCCTTAAAAAGTTAAGAAATTCTCACATCTCTACAACACGAACGAACCTTGAAGACATTATGCTAAGTGAAGTGAATCGGACACAAAAGAACAGTGTTTGATTCTACTTAGATGAGGTCCCCAGAACGGTCAAGTTCACAGCAACCAAAAGTAGAATGTTGGTTGCCGGTGGGGGGGGGGGGGCCCCGCGCGGGAAGGAGGGGCTGGAAATGTGGCATGGATGTTGAATGGATATGGGGTTTTCATTTGCAATAATGAAAAGTTTGGGGGATGGATGTTGGCGATGGTCACCCAACAATGTGAATGTACTTAATGCCACTGAACTATACACACAAAAATAGTTAAAATGGCAAATGACATTCACGTTTTACGTTTTACGTATTTTTTTACCCCAGTTAAAAATCAATGTCAGGGGCGCCTGGGTGGCTCATTCGGTTGAGCGTCCTACTTCAGCTCAGGTCATGATCTCACTGCTCCTGAGTTAGAGCCCCCCCCCTGGGCTCTGTGTTGACAGCTTAGAGCCTGGAGCCTGTTTTGGATTCTCTCTCTCTCTCTCTCTCTCTCTGCCTCTCCCCCACTCGTGTTCTGTTTCTCTCGCTCAAAAATAAATAAACGTTAAAAAAACAAAGCAACGTCAATGTACAAACTGAGTAATAAAAATGGTTACCACTTATAGAGTACCCCATACGTAGCAATACAACCTTGTGAGGTCTCATTACCCTTCCAGTTTTAAGATGAAGAAATGGAGGTTCAGAGTGGTTAGTGACTACCCCCAGAAGTCATAAAGCCAGAGAAATAAAGTTGGGATTTAAAGCCAGATCTTTCTTTCTCTTTCTTTCTTTCTTTCTTTCTTTCTTTCCTTCTTTGCTTCTTTCCTTCTTTTTTCTTTCTCTCTTTCTTTCTCTTTTTCTTTTTAATATTTATTTATACTTGAGAGAGAGAGAGAGAGAGAGAGAGAGAGAGCGCACATGCATGAGCACAAGTGGGGGAGGGGCAGAGAGAGAGGAAACCAAGGATCCGAAGCAGGCTCCGGGCTCCCAGTTGTCGGCACAGAACCCACTGTGGGGCTCGAACTGAGGAACAGCGAGATCATGACCTGGGCTGAAGTAGGACCCTCAACCCACTGAGCCACCCAGGTGCCCCTAAAGCCAGGTCTTTCTGGCAATCTCTTTCTGGCTTCTCTGTGTTGCCTCCTCTCCTCTGAAAGCCTTAGCGCCCGTCTGCATGGCCTTTGGTAAAAGGATTTTGTTTCTTTCACAGAAAACTATGAACAAAAAGCATTCAGCCTTGGGTTACTATTAGGGGCTGCCTCTGGCCCCATTTCAGGGTGGCCTGGAGTTAATTCCTCCCCACCTTGTGCCTCAGCTTCCCCATCAGGCAAACCGGTGGCTGTCCTCCCAGGGCATTCATTCCAGCACTCTCTCAACAGTGCATGGCCTCTCAGAAATGTCTGTAAAAAGAAGGCAAATTCATAGGTCGACCATAAGTCCCATTTTGTTCCAGGCAGTCCTGATTTCTGACTGCTGCCTTTCAAGAGTATCCTGGTTTGTGTGATATGCTCACCCCACAAATTCACTAACTAGGTTTTGTTTGAGCAACATTTGGCTTCAGACCTCAGAGAGTTGCCTCTTGTAAATTCTTATTTCTCTTTGTTTTGAAACCTACGAGGTAAAACCAGCCAAAGTTTGTCAAGATTGATATTGCAGGCTTTGTTTCGAAGTCGCTCAATGTGGACAGTTGTATGTATCTTTGTTGAAAATTGCAAGCCAAGGGGCGCCTGGGTGGCTCATCTGGTTGAGCGTCTGACTTCGGCTCAGGTCATGATCTCACGGTTCGTGAGTTCGAGCCCCACATCCAGCTCTGTGCTGACAGCTCGCAGCCTGGAGCCTGCTTCGGATTCTGTGTCTCCCTCTCTCTGCCCCTCCTCTACTCATGCTCTCTTTCTCTCAAAATAAATAAACATTTTTAAAAAATTAAAATAAAATTGGAAGCCAAGATGTCTAATGATTTGGTTTTGTTTCAGAGCTTAAAACATTTTTCATTAAGATAGGGATTATTCTGTGATTTTAAAAAACACAACAGTTCAGTACAATGATTTTTTAAAAAATCGAGTGTAGGGCCAGCACAAAATGGCTGGAATAGCAGGATTTGTAGGAAGAATTACTATTATGAGGGTGTTAATGAGTTGATACATAGAAGAGCCACACTTCTATAGAAGTAGAGTGAGTCAAAATTTGTCCTGTTATATTCTTTGGCAGTTTATTGTCACTCTGAGAAGGATTTAAACTTTTTTATTTCATGGAAAGGCAACATACATCCCTTTTGATAATGTGAAAAATATAGAAAAATACAAAGAGACAACAATCCCATTACCCAAGATTCCTACTATAAACACTTTGACATATACTTCTGGTTATTTGTGTACTCATGTATGTATCATTTATCCAAAAATAGCACACACATTGTATTCTCTTCTATAACATCCGTTCTTCTTTTATATTTATATGTCAGACGCTTTTCTATTTTGTTAAACATGGTCCATAAAATCCCTTTAATAGTTATGGGGTTGTCAATGATATGGATATATCAAAATTTACTCAACTCTGCCCCTAATGTTGGATGTTTCTTTCTAATTTTTTGGCTTTGAAAAACCACAAAGAACTGAGAATCATTCTTTTGGCGAGAGTTTTGGAGAACAAATTTTTGGAAGTGCGTCTGCTAGGTTAAAGGATATGTTTCTCTAAGGCTCTTAATGCATATTCCTATCAGAGTCACTGTGGAAATTCTAAAACTTCTGAAATAAATGCGAAGCGAGACATCGAAGGCACAGACATTCTAGACCTCTTCCCCATAATTCATGTCCTCTGTGCCTCATCATAACAGGTTCCAAAGCCAAACGGGCCAGCTTGTTCTAATACCCGTAGTGTCCCAGGATGGTTGAGT